TCTTTCTTTCTTTCTTTCTTTCTTTCTTTCTTTCTTTCTTTCTTTCTTTCTTTCTTTCTTTCTTTCTTTCTTTCTTTCTTTCTTTCTTTCTTTCTTTCTTTCTTTCTTTCTTTCTTTCTTTCTTTCTTTCTTTCTTTCTTTCTTTCTTTCTTTCTTTCTTTCTTTCTTTCTTTCTTTCTTTCTTTCTTTCTTTCTTTCTTTCTTTCTTTCTTTCTTTCTTTCTTTCTTTCTTTCTTTCTTTCTTTCTTTCTTTCTTTCTTTCTTTCTTTCTTTCTTTCTTTCTTTCTTTCTTTCTTTCTTTCTTTCTTTCTTTCTTTCTTTCTTTCTTTCTTTCTTTCTTTCTTTCTTTCTTTCTTTCTTTCTTTCTTTCTTTCTTTCTTTCTTTCTTTCTTTCTTTCTTTCTTTCTTTCTTTCTTTCTTTCTTTCTTTCTTTCTTTCTTTCTTTCTTTCTTTCTTTCTTTCTTTCTTTCTTTCTTTCTTTCTTTCTTTCTTTCTTTCTTTCTTTCTTTCTTTCTTTCTTTCTTTCTTTCTTTCTTTCTTTCTTTCTTTCTTTCTTTCTTTCTTTCTTTCTTTCTTTCTTTCTTTCTTTCTTTCTTTCTTCTCTAGCCACATGTTAAAATGGGGTCATATTTGCGTCAAATTTTCAAAATAGACCTTAAATTTACCAAGAATGATCCTTCTTAGGGCCTAGGTCAAAGTTCAGTTTTTTCCATATGCTTTCATGTAGCTGGGGTCATTAGTGTCAAATTTCAACATATACCAAATAAGCTCAAATTTACCAGAAATGATCTTTAGAACCTTCTAAACATTTAAAAAACACTCTTCACACTACAGGTCAAAGGTCAGACTCTTCCATACTTTTTAAGAAGCTCAAATTCATTACGGATGATAGGACATTGTAAATATGTTTAGATATGCTCTTAATGACAATTAAGGTCAAAGTTCAAAAGCTATAAAGGTCATTAGGGTGGAAATTATCAAACATTGCTAATGGCAAACGGTTGGACAGATTGCATTAGACAGACTTCTACCAAACATAGGGTGTTCAACCCGAGGTCAAAGGCCACAGGGGTCATATTTTGAAAAGTGACCGAGTTTGTTTTTTGAACATAGCATTTGTAGTTGTGTTTATTTCCTTAATTACAAAATTGATTGTTTTGTTTAATATTTGTCTCTATTTTATGTACTAGTATTTAATTAAGAATATAAGTTTAAGATTTATAAATGTCGATCACCGATCTAAAGGTGAATTTTCGAATACATATCATTGTACACTCTTTGAGCTAACCTTAAATTTAGGCGGACCGATTCTGGCTTATATGAACTACTTTTTGCAAGTAGTCATGCCAGAATCGATCCAACTTAATTTTCCTGACAGGCCTACTGAACCTAAAATAGGTGAATTTAATACTATTTATAGCCTACTATTGTCTTTTATAATAATAATAATAAGATTTATAAATCTAATTTATAAATTATAATAAAGAAATATTACCTGATTCAAAGCTGAGCAGGTAGCATTTGGTAACTGTACAAGGGGCAGAAACTACAGTATCTTCAAAGTGTGAAAATATCATGAAAATACAGAGCTAATTCAGGAATAGACGAAACCATTACTTCTTTAGGGGTCCTTCACAATTATCAACATTTTCACAAGCGTACAAAACGAACGAGGGGGTTAAACCCTGGCGTACGCTTTTTAAAAAGTAATAAAATGTCTGTCAAAAATCGTCACAACCACGAAAAAACTGCTGAAATACCGGCGAAAGTTTGATGTACTTCAGTTCCGTGCAGTAGCGAGAATATGCATTGATCTGGTGTATAAAGCCCTATTTTACGTTACGATGTATTCGCGATTGGAACAAAATTCTCTGTACTCTCGTGACTGAATGTGTTGCTTGCTTGGCCATTTGGTGAGACTGCTAAATCATGACACCGCAATAGTTTTTGAAAAAGCGAAATTTAAAATGGAAAAAGTAGAGAGGAAGAAGCCGCCGATGAAAATGCCTAATTGTTTCTCTAAGGTTGGTTTAATTTGTTATATTTGTTTGAATATACACTAAACTGGGCCTAGGTTAGTAATAAGATTTCGATTAATTGTCCTGTTATATTGTTATTTTTCTCTATATTGTTTCTTTACTAGGCTATAGGCTACACCAAACTGCCAAGAGTACTGAAAATGTTGCTGCTTCACTTCTATTACACATGGAAGTTGATGAACCATAAGGTGCTCCTGCTACAGCTTTGGCTATTAGTAGTGGCGATGTACACTTCTTCATACGGAATAGTCAACATTAAATCAGAACTGAACTCAGAACTCAGATTGTTTTATTTGTCCAAAATTATAACAAACAAATAGTATACTGTAATTAAATTATAACATATTGATGGTCGGGAGACTCTCATTAAAGCTAAAATAAGCCGCTACCATGAGAGCCACACTGTAGAGAAAAAAAAAATGTATTGTTTTACACATAGTACAATTTAATGTGTCTTGTATTGAATTTACTTATTTATTGAACTGGCTGTTCCGAATTCTGTATTATTAGATGCAAAAAAAAAAATCAACATTTTTCTTGTACACTTTCGGTAGTTGGGGGAAGTGTACTCTTTGTACACTTGTGAAAATGTTGATAATTGTGAAGGACCCCTTAAGGTTGGTTGGTTAAATGCCATGTTGAAAGAGAGTTGGGAGAACATATTATAAAATAAGGAAAGCCTTGGCTGGTGGAGGGGAGGGGGAATTGATATGATGTTCCTACTTTGAAAAGTAGGGGACGTGTTCCCCCTCCCCCTCCCCCAGATTCACTTGTTTAATCATCGACGATTAAGTTGTTTCATTAACTTGTAGTCGATGGAGACCAGGCTAGAGGGCGACAAACACACAGTCTATAGATTATTTAGGCCAGAATTATAATGGGCAACCTCTTCCTTGATTTCAGAAAAACGTCGTTTCCAAGTTTTAAAACTAGCAGTTTCTGCTGCGAGTATGCAATTCATGTAAATACTAATAGATACTTCAGTACATATAAGGGTGTACCGATTTTTAGCCCACTCTCTGAGAGAGAGGGCTTATATGATGATTCTGAGTGAATTTTGAAGTCATTTGTTTTTCTATCTCTTCCTTCGTTTGTGACGCGATTAGGCCGATCTTGCAATAGTATGAAATATAAGGCGTGGGGAATTTAAAGTATGAAGAGTTTTTTCGAAAATATTGTCGGGAAATATGTGAAAAGTATGGGTTTTTTTTAATCATTTCTTAACACTACGGTGGGTTTCCTATGTTAGCGTGTTCGTCATTGATCAGATTGCAAATCGCCTGTATATTCCACATTGTGTTTATCAACCAATCACGGCTTGGAATGTTAAGCTTTGCGACTAATAAATGCGTCTGCACGAGTCTAGTTGGTAGCGAAGAATGAGCAGTTTTGTGGTGCTTGCAAGGGTGGTGGTCTC